ATAAACATAGAATTACCACATGACCCAGGAATTCCACTCCTGGGTACATACCCCAAATAACTTAAAAACAGACATATGGCTGGGCGCAGTGGCACACACCTGTAATTCCAGCACTTTGGGAGGCCAAGGTGGGTGGATAACCTGAGGTCAGGAGTTTGAGACCAGCCTGACTAACATGGTGAAACCCTGTCTCTACTAAATATAAAAAAAAAAAATTAGCCAGACATAGACATAATGGTGGGTGTCTCTAATTCCAGCTACTTGGGAGGCTGAGGCAGGAGAATCACTTGAACTTGGCAGAGGTTGCAGTGAGTCAAGATCACGCCACTGCACTTCAGCCTGGGCAACAAGAGTGAAACTCCATCTCAAAACAAACAAACAAATATATAAGCAAATACTTGCATACAAATGTTTGTAGCAATATTAATTGCAATGGTGAAAATGCAACCCAAATGTCTTTCAACCAATGAATGGATTTTTTTTTTTTTTTTTTTTTTTTTTTTTTTTTTGAGACAGAGTCTTATTCTGTTGCCCAGGCTGGAGTGCAGTGGCGCCATCCCAGCTCACTGACCTCTGCCCCCAGGGTTCTAGCGATTCTCCTGCCTTAGCCTCCCAAGTAGCTGAGATTACAGGCGCCTGCCACCATGCCCAGCTAATTTTTTTGTATTTTTAGTAGAGACAGGGTTTCGCCATGTTCGCCAGGCTGGTCTCGAACTCCTGACCTCAGGTGTTTTTTTTTAAAGTGGTATACTCACACAATAGAGTATCACTCAGCCACAGAAAAAGAAAAAAAACCTGATACATGCTATAACATGGATACTATACTTATATTTTGCTTGGTTGAGTCCAATGTTAAGTCTATCTAAAGTCCTTATTTTCACATATTTGCAGTGAAAGAATTTCTTTTTTTTTTCGAGACAGAGTCTCACTCTGTCACCTAGGCTGGAGTGCAGTGGCACGATCTTGGCTCACTGCAACCTCCACCTCCTGGGGTCAAGAGATTCTCCTACTCAGCCTCCCGAGTGGCTGGGATTACAGGCACACACTACCATGCCTGGCTAATTTTTGTATTTTTAGTAGAGACGGGGTTTCATCATGCTGGCCAGGCTGGTCTTGAACTCCTGACCTCATGATCCACCCGCCTCGGCCTCCCAAAGTGCTGGGATTAAAGGCATAAGCCACTGCGCCCAGTCTTGTATTTAATTTTTAAAATAGACTCAAATTCTCTTGTGAAATTCTTTTCTTTTCTTTTCTTTTTTTGAGACAGACTTCTACTCTTCTTGCCCAGGCTGGAGTGCAATGGTGTGATCTTGGCTCACTGCAACCTCCACCTCCCAGGTTCAAGCGATTCTCAGGCCTCAGCCTCCCGAGTAGCTGGGATTACAGGCACCTGCCACAACACTCGAATAATTTTTGTATTTTCAGTAGAGACAGGGTTTTGCCATGTTGACCAGGCTGATCTCAAACTCCTGACCTCAGGTGACCTGCGCACCTCGGCCTCTCAAAGTGCTGGGATTACAGGCGTGAGCCACCGCGCCTGGATGAAATTCTTTATATACTTATCTATTTTCTCCATATTTTCCTCGGATTTCTTTAACATATAAATCGTAGTTATCTCAGCCAATTCCAATATCTAAAGCATATGTGGATCTGTTTCTATTGTCTTTTATTTTTTTCTCTTGGTTTTTGGTTTCTTTTGGTATTTAATAAATGTGACTAATCAATATGTACTAAATGGCAGACAATGTATTAAATAGGTATTATGTATAAAATGTACCTCCTAGAATATTATTTATTCAACAAATACTTAGTGAGCACTGACTAAGCACTGACAATATGCTAGGCACCATGCGCATGTGATACAGTAATAAACAGAGCAGCATCCCTGCCATCAGAAGCTTGCACTCCAGTGTAGGAAGGAGGCATTTACCTAATACTAAAATGGCCTTTAAGGCCCTAAAAATCTAAGCTCCCTACTATACCATTATCTTTTTTTTTTTTTTCCTTATCTCTAAATTGTCTCTCTCTTGATGATTCCAATCACATGCTTCCTTGGTGGTTATTCAGTATCAGGTACACTTCAGTCTCAACCAACAATCTTGCACTTGTTATTCTTTCTGCCTAATATGCTTTGCTCTTCTCCAGGATAGCAACAAGACGTGTCCTGCCACTTCCTTAGATGGTCTGCTAAACATGCACTTGGCCCTCTATATCCTTGGGTTCTGTATCCACAGATTAAACCAACCACAGATGGAAAATACTCAGGGAAAAAAAAAAAAAAAGAAAGGAAGAAAGGAAAGAAGGAAGGAAAGAAGGAAAGAAGGAAAAATAAAACTACTGCAAATTTTAAAACACAGTGGGACAACTATTTACATAGCATTTACATTGTATTAGGTATTATAAGTAATCTAGAGATGATTTATAGTATACGGAAGGGCTGCGCGCAGTGGCTCACATCTGTAATCCCAGCACTTCAGGAGGCCAAGGAGAAGGACTGCTTGAGTCCAGGAGTTTGAGACCAGTCTGGGCAACACAGTGAAACCCCCGTCTCTACAAAATATAAAAAGTAGGCAGGTGTGGTGGCACACATCTATAGTCCCACCTATTCAAGCAGCTGACGTGGGAGGGAGGAGCACTTGAGCCCAGGAGGTGGAGGTTGCAGTGAGCCATGACTGTGCCACCGCACTCTAGCCTGGGTGACAGAACAAGACCGTGTCTCAAATAATAATAATAATAATAAAGAAAAGGTGGCAATTAATGCTATGAAAAAAAGTAAGATTGCCCAGGGCAAGTTAGCACAATAAAAAGAGGAAATGTCCTACTCAGGACCCAGAATAAAAACCCCCATTTAAGGAACAAAGATAGGAAGAACAATCGGGAGGAATCTAAGAAGGGGCATTCAAACAGGCCAAAAAACACAAAAACTAGAACTGAGTAATGTACCAGAAGTGAATATCTCAGAGGGAAGTATGGACTGACCAAGAGACTCAAATGCTGCTCAGAGATTGCTATAAGATCAGAATTCAAGCTTATATACTGGATTTAACAAAGGGAAGAGGTTGCTGGTAGCTTTGCAAGAGAAATTCAGTAGGAATGAGGAAAGAAGCTAGATGGCAAATTTAAAGATAAAGTGAAAGATACAGAAATGAAAGTGAGGAAGGGCAATTCACTGAAAGGGAAGAGAGAAAGAAGGTGGCAACTAGCTGTGGAGTGAGAGGGGTGATGGTGCTTTACGAATGGAAGAAATGCTTGTTTCTTTCCCACTAAACTGTGAGCACTATGATGCGCAGATCACGTGTGTCTCATCACCACATCCTTCCCACACAACTGAGTGAACAATACATTTGTTCACTGAGCATTTTTAATAGCAATGATAACAGAAAGGAGCTAAAAGATGAGAATTTTAAGACACAGAAGAGAGAAAAGATAATCAGTAAAACCATAGCCTGTGAAGGCTATAAAGAATACATTTGGAAAATAGGAGGAGAAACTGGCTTTCCAGAGGATGTGGAACACCTCCTCCTTGTAACAAGGGGAAAGAAACAACATGGATAAACGTAGATAAAAGTAAATACAGGTAAATACAGGCAAGAAGCTGAGGATATTTATTAACCAGGGGCCAAGTTTTCTAATTGTCCTCTAATGCATGAAACGATCTTGCACAATGAAGAACAGCCCAACACAGAATGCCGAAAGTAACAAGAAGAAATGCTGAAATGAAGAGTTCCTGCAGGCTAACTCAAAATACAAGGTTAAAACTCTACATGAGGACTCTCTTCTAACTAGAAAAAAATAGAATAATTTTTCATGGGAAAAGGGGAAATTGCATACTTCAATTTCTGCATTTCTCCCTCAGAAGCCTTCAGTTGCAGAAGGCTCTTGCTAAATGTTTGCAATATACAGTTACCTATAGCTATACCACATTCACCAGAAACATGATTCTAACTTACATATTATACACATGGAGAGAAGCTCAAGATAAAGATATATAGAGAAACTCACAATATTTAACACATGAAACACATACCACTATTAAATGCAATCCAGAGATCTGACAATACAATTTTTAATCACCAAGCGTTTTCCTATGAAAGTCTGAGTCACTGCTGATTCACTGAATACAATGCTCAAACAGTTTCTCACTCAAACTCATGCTATTTAAAATAATACAAGTTGGCCAGGCGCAATGGCTCACACCTGTAATCCCAATACTTCAGAAGGCCAAGGCGGGAGAATCTCTTCAGCCCAGGAGTTTGAGACCAGCCTGGGCAACACAGTGAGACCCTCATCTCTACAAAATAAAAATAGTCAGGTGTGGTGGTGTGTGCCTGTAGTCCTAGCCACTTGGGAGGCTAAAGAAGGAGGGATTCTTGAGTCATGGCGAGAGGATCATTTGAGCCTAGGAGTTCAAGGTTATAGTGAGCTATCACTGTACCACTGCATTCCAGTCTAGGCAACAGAGTGAGACCCCCATCTCTAAAAATAATAAAATAATCCAGTTAAAAACACTGAATTTTGGCCAGATGCGGTGGCTCACACCTGTAATCCCAGCACCCGGGAGGACGAGGCAGGCAGATCACCTGGGGTCAGGAGTTCAAGACCAGCTTGGCCAACATGGTGAAACCCTGTCTCTACTAAAAATACAAAAATTAGCTGGGCATGGTGGCAGGCGCCTGCAATCCCAGCTACTCCGGAGGTTGAAGCAGGAGAATCACTTGAACCCTGGAGGTGGAGGTTGCAGTGAACCGAGATTGCATCATTGCACTCCAGCCTAGGTGACAAGCGCAAGACTCCACCATAAATAAATAAATAAATAAATAAATAAATAAATAAATGTAAAAACGCTGATTTTTTTAAACATATATACATGTATGTATGTGTGTGTATATATGTGTGTGTGTGTATAAATATATCCCAAAAAAGCAATAGTTGCATTTTATCTTATACTTTTGACAAAATGCTTAAAGACATATACAATAAAAGTAAAAATAGCTTCTCACCTTGACTACTCCATCAAAGCCAGGGATTGTATTAACCTCTGCTTTCTTAGCTAATAATTTGCTTTCAATCTTGTCACCCATGGCTTGAATGGCATGTGTGTCAGGTCCAATGAAAATGACATCTTCTGCTGCCTGTGGAGAAAAACAAGTCAAAATTTATAACAAGAACATTACAGAGCATGATGTGGAGTCACAATTTATAAAAAGAAAAGCCCATATGTGTATTTTCTAACTATTTTTCTTGCAGAAACAACAGTTTTTGAGCCAACACATTAAAATACTATATTGCATATAGTACATGTGTGGATAGATGCATGCAACAAAGTCAAATGAAAACAACGGACAGCACTGAAGTACTCCTGCTGGGTATAAACAGTGCACCTCCAAAAAGCCACTCTATGACACTGTATTTGTATATAACGTCCTATGCCACCTAATCTAGCCAGTAAGGTCACCCCTAAACACCTTATAAATCTCTGTGTTTTCAACAGCCTGCAGCATAGTGCCTAGTATAACACAAATATCCATATTTACTGAATACCAATTCTGCACCAGGCTCTGAGCTAAACATAGGAGATAACATGGATGAAGATAACAGGATATCAATAATTTCCAGGAAACGTGAACAGATCACTGACACCTCAGAGAAATAGATTTTTAAAAAGTACAATATGTTTACATCCTTGTGACTACAAAAGATGAGTCAAGAATCCAGCAGGAATTTAACTGGGTAGAGTTCCAGTTTCAATCAAAACCACTCTGCACAAACCACACTAAGTCCCTTGACAATGGATCTACCTCTCTGTTCATGCCACTCTAATAAAAAAAATGCTAATGACTTAAATAGATCTGGAGACAAAACAAAATATGATGCCATTAGCTCCACTACAGGGCATGGTCTAGAAAAGTAATGGGGGTGTTTGCTGAGATAAAGGATGAAGTCATTTCATAAAGAACTGAAGGTAAATATAAAATGGGAAAAAGCAGACCTATATGCAGGCCTTCCTCGAGGAAGGCGCCTAACTGCTGATTGACCTACGACCTTTGTCAGAGTTGGTATAAACAATAAATCGCATATTTATATATCACTTTTACGTCACATGTTCATTCCATGTTAGCATTGCTACCTGCAAAGAATCCTGACTTGGGAAAAAAGGTTCATTCTCCTGGTGACCAGGGCAGCTGAGTAACCTGGTGTTTGGAGTGCTCTCCTGGCCATCGTGACCAGGAGGATTAACCCCACCCTGAGCAGTAAGTGGAAGTTGAATAAGGAATAAACACAAGGAATATACAAGGAGATAAATATTTAGGAGGTGAGATGATGACTCCAACTTTGCACACGCTGAGCTGAGGTGCCTCACAATAGTCAAGTATTCATGTTAAGGAGGCAGATAGAGAGGTATAGAAGTGATCAGACAAGTCCAGGCTGAAATACAGATTTTATCTTTTTTGAGACAGAGTCTCACTCTGTCTCAGGCTGGAGTGCAATGGCACAATCTTGGCTCACTGCAACCTCCATCTCCGGGGTTCAAGCGATTCTCCTGCCTCAGCCTCCCAAGTAGCTGGGACTACAGGCACGCGCCACCACGTCCAGCTAATTTTTATACTTTTAGTAGAGACGGGGTTTTACCATATTGGCCAGGATGATCTCAACCTCTTGACCTCATGATCTGCCCACCTTGGCCTTCCAAAGTGCTGGGATTACAGGCATGAGCCACTGCGCCCAGCCAAACTACAGATTTTTAAAGGCATCAAATACAGGATGGAATTAAAAGTTGTGAATGGCAGTCCAGGTGCGGTGGCTCACGCCTGTAATCACAACACTTTGGGAGGCTGAGGAGGACGGATCACGAGGTCAGGAGATCGAGACCATCCTGACCAACATGGTGAAACCCCATCTCTACTAAAAATACAAAAAATTAGCTGGGTATAGTGGCACGCACCTGTAATCCCAGTTACTGGGGAGGCTGAGGCAGGAGAATTGCTCGAACCTGGGAGTCAGAAGTTGCTGTGGGCCGAGATGGAGCCACTGCACTCCAGCCTGGGGACAGAGCGAGACTCCATCTCAAAAAATATATATAAAAATAAAAGTTGTGAATGAAATCATTCAGAGAAAATAAGTAGTAAAGCCAATGCCTTTAAATTCAAGAGGTATGCTTCTCTCCTACCCAAAAGCAAAACAAAAGAAAACGGAATTTTTAGACCCTGAGTCTAAGGCATCCATTTCTTTGAGTGACAATGTGGATAATATCTGACTTTTAAGTTTGATTAAATAATTAAATAATGTACAGGAGGAAAACTATTATTTTCCTTCTACCTTTCTAAGTTTATGGCTGGGGCACCTATTACAAAAGATAGATTAACCAAAAAAAAAAAAAGTATACACATTTACTTAATATAAGTTGTACGTGACATAGGAGCCTGCGTAAGGAAATGAAAATCCAAAGAAACAGTTAAACTTGAGTGTTTTTATACAAGGCTGATGAAGACTAGAGAGTTAAGGAGAAATGATAGCACAGAGCGCAAGAGGTAAGTGTCATAAACTGGGGAAAACGACTCAGATTCCTCTGCATCCTCTTCTCTTTGGGAATGAGGATGCTCCTAACCCTGTCTCTACTAAAAATACAAAAATCAGCTGGGCAGGGTGGTGCGTGCCTGTAATCCCAGCTACTCTGGAGGTTGAGGCAGGAGAATCGCTTGAACCTGGGAAGTGGACGTTGCAGTGAGCCAAGACTGCACCACTGCACTCCAGCCTGGGCAACAGAGTAAGACTCTTTCTCCAGAAAAAAAAAAAAAAAAAAAAGAGGACACTAGAATAATAAGATAGCTAGGTCCACAGGACTCTAAAATAGTATTATAGGAACCCAAATGCCTAAAATTTGCTGGTGTTACAAGTGGCAGGAGGCTGGATAAGAAACCCCTTCAGCCATAAGAGGTGCTTATAAAGTATCTCTCTATCAAATGTTTTCGTATTTGGTTTTAGTAGAACTTTATTTTCATGGAAAAAAAAATCTTATGCAAATCCCCAAAAATGTAAAGCACGTAGGAAGTAGCGCTGCTCTGTATGAGGAGATAATAGTGGTAAGCCTACACCTCTATCAACTCTATGTCTCCAGGTGGATACATGAATCATTTTGGACCAGGACAATAATCATATTCATTTCTCTTTATCCAAAACCTGAAACCCGCTGAACACTAAGTAAAGGCAAGAGGAAACAATCATGCTTCAACCATCAGTTGTCTTTCCGTACTCTCATTTTACTTGCAAAGATGGAAAATTTTATTATAATGCTGCTTTAAAAACGACTATGCTAGGTAGATGTAATCAAGCAATCAGAGTACCCACACAAAGAATTGAAGAAATAACATAAATGAGAACATCCAAAATACATTATGGTTATACAGTAAAACTTCTGATTAACAGGAGCCCAATGACCTGGAACACTGATTAACCAGATTTTTCTTGTGCATTCTAATTTGAGGAAAATTACTCACCCAAAAATGCAAAATTATCAAAAAAAAAAAAAAAAAACAAAACACTTACATCAAGTATTTAGTGACTATTTTTTGTCCCACCCAATACAAAAGAAAAATAGCCAGTAGTATGCTGGATAACTACAAATGTTTCAATGACTTAACTTCCTTTTTATCAATGTGTTTTTGGAAGTGCTCCCTAGGTTGGCCTTTAAAAGTAATTAAAGCAAAGTGAGAGAGCAACATTAGAGGCTCTTGGCTCCCATAAATCTGTGACCAAAAAGGATGAGGTCAGGATAAGAGAATATGGCAACTGCAGTGTGATGCAGCATGTTTCAAACGCTTTCAGTTCTTGACCAGGCAGTGGTGTGATGTAGAATAAAAAGCCAGATTATATCCACTAGTAACCTTCGATACTCTTCAGTTAACCTGGTATTTTTTGTTATCCATCTAATTATCAGCTTCCCTTAATCACTGCAAGTTTTCTGTTATGCAATAGTAACTAAATTTGTTTCCAAAAATATGCTTTTCAAGGTCCTTTTAAATTTACCTTGCATGATGCATATAATATCTGAATGCAAACAAATGTCTTATGACCACAAAAGGTGGGCATTTTTCATCATTAAAGTGATTCATTAAAAAAAAATAATGAGGAGTCAAGTGTGCCTGTAGTCCCAGGTACTTGGGAGGCTGAGCCAGGAGTATCTCTTGAGCCCAGACACTGTTCACTGTTGTTGTGCACTACGATGGCACCTATGAACAGCCACTACACTCCAGCATAGGCGACATGGCAAGACAAAGGAAGAGAAAGAAACTATGAAAAGCTGAAATCACTGCTCCAAAATTCTATTCATTTCCTAAATTCTGTGACTTTATGGTTCTGGAAAAATTTTAATAGAAGAATGGGGAAAAGAGTCGGGTTTGAGCAGTATGTTAAGGAAATGAGATTTAATTTACAACAGATTTTATGTCAGGAATGAAGGACAGAAAGAATCATTGTAAAAATTACAATGTATGATACATATTTCATTCTTAGAAATATCACAAGTTAGTAAATTGCTAATTATGAATTCAGATTTTAAAGTGTATACATTTTAGGTTCACCAAGAGTTGCTACTTGGGTAACTACAAAACCAGGGTCAGAAGTAAAAGACAGCCATGGGGCCAGGCGTAGTGGGTCACGCCTGTGACTCAGCACTTTGGGAGGCCGAGGCAGGTGAGCTACATGAGCTCAGGAGTTTGAAACCAGGCTGAGCAACATGGCGAAAACTTTTCTCTACAAAAAACATAAAAATTAGCCAGTCATGGTGGTGTATACCTGTGGTCCCATGTGGTCCCAACTACTTGGGAAGCTGAGGTAGGAGGATTGCTTGAGCCCGGTGGGTAGAAGCTGCAGTGAGCTGAGACTGCACCACTGCACTCCAGCCTGGATGACAGAGCAAGACCCTGTCTCAAAAAAAAAAAAGATAGCCATGGAAAAACAGTTGAACTGTCCAAAAGATCCAGACTGTGGTTTTTAATACTATTCCACGCTAAAAGAAAAAAGTGTTTCTGGTAAAAAAGGCCAGTTCCAGGATTGGTTCAGGGAATACAGCGCATCTGATAAACTGAGTCAGAAAGAAAGCTTTCAAAAATTAACGTAGCAGATAGAAAGGAGC